TATAAAATATAAATATATATAGTAAAGTAATGAAAATATAATCAATAACTTAATATCGCTTCATATGGATAAAAATCCAAAGTAGAATATACTCAATAATAACTACTGCAAAACACCAAGGAATACAGACCTGTGGTGTCATTTGTCGCGTAAGAAAAGATTTTAATGTTCCCTTTAACCGTTCAAACACTGATAAATCAGTAGGTGCCTTTAGTTGTGCATTATCTTTTGAAAAAAAATTTCCTGGAAGAAATACAATTAATGAAATATTTATAATAATAACAATAACAAATTTTATTTTGATGTAAATTAAATAAAAATTAAATAAATATTATATGAAGGTGTAATATCTTACCAATAGTAACTGTAAGATCACCATTTGCCTTGGCAATTGCTTTTAATAGTTCAGAAGCCTCCACACTAAACAAAAATACAACTGGAATAGTTACATCATCCACTTCTTTTCCATCTCCTGACATTGCAAATATAGGTGAAGTTGTGGCACTAGAACCATCAACATTATCCAACACTATTCCAGCCACAGCACCTGCTTTTTGAATTCGTCTTGCCTGTAATAATTTTTAGATAAACAGATAAATATACTGCTTAGATTCTTTTAAAATATAATTGAAACATGTTTACCTTCTCTATAAACATGCAGTTACCCCGACCCATTATTGCTATATTTCCAGTAAGTACATCTGTGTCATGGAGATCAGTACATGCGGTAGATGGTAATGTAAAAACAACTTTACCGGTTATTTTCTCTAATCCTTTCAATTCTAACCCAAATTGTGCCGGTCCAGCTAATAATGTAACTACCTGAGGTGGATTTGTATTTGGTTTCACAAATGAGACAGCTTGTGGTTTAACTTCAGATTGTTGAGATTGCATTTTACTTATTTCAACCATTTCTTGCATAAATAATAAACCTTCTTCTAAATCCTGTGGTGTTTTTGCCTATAAAATGAATACAAAAATCATTATTTTGTGAATTAATACAGTTATAATGCGTAAAATATTTTAGCATGTTAATAAAACCAAAAAACGCAAAAAATGAACGAAAATATTTTATTTTACATTAGAAAATGTATGCAATAGTTGAACTCGTCCATTTGCCAAAGTTAAAGTCATTATTCCCATATCACTCAACAATTTTAAATGTTCCAAATTATTTGCCTACAATAGAAAACAATAGCTTTTAGTGTATATTTAATACTTAAAGTTAATATAAATATCTTTTACCTGGAATTGTGCAGCACTTAATCTTCTTTTTATTGCGCGTCTCGGATATACATCTTCAACCATGTTCCTCAAAGATTGTCTTACCGATGCAGGAAATAAGTGCAGACTATTAGGACAAGTACGATCCATTTCATCCACATGTACGATATCTCGTTCAAAATCTTGCTTCATTTTAAAAATTGTAAACATAAGAAAATTATACTTTATTAATATTACTATATAATACTATTTTTTAACAGTATACTAATCTATACTGAAATATTGATTGAATTATTTATTATACCTACCAAAGAAACGTTAGTCGTTATAGAAGCAAGTGTTAATGGTAATAGATGTCCCTCAGTTGTAAAAATAAATTCATCCAAATCTAAAAGTAGTTCGCCTGGCTCCGCAAATAACAGAAATAAGTATTTAAAAGTTTCTGATAATACAAAACTATCCATTGTATCATCATGCTTATTAGTTCTAACATCTGATACAGCTGCATAACCACATGGTACTCTGGCATAAGTTTGCAGACTTTTGAGTACCTTCCGCCCAACTCCTAAATAATAATGATCACCAGTAGCACGATACAGGAAGTACGTTGATTCTAAAAATTCTGGCCTTAATGGATGATGCCCCCAGTGTACCTAATTATATAAATTAAGAAACATGTATATTAATATAAGATTGAAATTTACCTATTCACACATAAAAATATTAATCACCTGAAAATCAGTAGTAAATGCTTCTGGTATAAAATTATGTCTCTGCATAACTTGATACAACATTTCGTGCGTTTCTACAGCTGGTTTAATATCACCTTTTAGTACCTAGAAGATAAAATAAAACTGAAATAAATATAGATATTAAAACCAAATATTAAAATTAGATATTAAAATCAAATTTTACCTGCAAACCAGGCCAAAAAGCTAACAAAGCATCCATAAAATTTTTTGCATTTGTATTTGGTCTGTGCATATGTACATCTAATAACATTGGTCCTTGGCTTACATATTTCATTACTGCTTGATAATGTTTATTAAATCGACCAAGATACTTTTCATCACCTATATTATGGTCAGAATTTAATTATATTATCATAAATTTTGTAATAAAGTTATAGAAATATGAATAATTTAATAATAATTACCTAATAAAATGTATGCCTTAAGACAATATTCATAATAGGAGTCTATACCTGCTCCTACCCCAGAATCTCTTCTTACCCAATCACCAGAATGTACATTTAACACAGACCCCATTAAATCCGTACCACGATGACGCATTCTCCATAAAATGTCCATTGCTTTTTGTGCTTTTTCCTTTTTATGTAATATCGTTATTAACATTATAAAAGAAAAAGAATTACATATCATTTTTATAAAATATTATAAAATATAATACCTCAAAAACTGATTCTCCTGTTAACCGTGATAATGCTGCCATTTCTAAAATCATGCTACCTGCACAAGCAGTACACGTTTCTCTTGATGCTTCCAAAGGTACACCTTTCATACCATATTTTAAATTTATCTTGAAAAGTTATATTAATAAGTATTCTTTTAAGAAAACCTCTGATATATTTTAATCACATCATATAATAAATTAAAATGTTATTACTCTGCCATATGGTATTCCTGTAGTTGTGTTAAATGCAGGTAAAAATCTGTATCCTAAATCTTTGGCTAAATTTAAAAGTTCACCCCTATACCATGGCATTATATCAGCTCTTTGTTGTAAATATTCTGCTAGTATGTGACCACTTAAAAGACCCCTATTACATAAATTATTAGAAAATATATGAGAAACAATTTCGTTAATAAAAAATAATTATAGTATAAAGTACAAATATATATTAAATAGTTATTAAGCATCTCACCCAAGCATTCTAATATTAGTTTCAAATAGAGAAACAATAACATCGGTATCAAAGCTAACATCTCTGACAACAAGTTTAACCGCATGTTCAAATTCCTCTAAATCTCCTAATACCTAATGGACAAGAATTAATTTAAATCACATTTTGTTAGCTATATAATTTTAATATAATGTTATAATATAAGAAATATAAGAATATTTTATTTTCTTACTACAAGTGTATCCAATGTATCAACCAATGTGAGAGAAAAACTGGAAATAATATATAAAAATGGATATATAGTTTCTAAACATTTTTTAAAATAATTTTTTAATCAAATAGTTTTGCTTTAACTAAATTTTTGTTCTTACTTTCCCAATGTAGAATCTATGTCACCCCTGTTTGGTTCTGATCCTCTGTACCTTCCTTTACAACTTAATGGCATTAATTCATCAGCAGGATATGCATTATCCTTAAACACATATTTAATTAACAAACTCAAATCAGAAAAGTTTTAATTAAAACTAATAAAGCACTAATTTTATGTGTCTTACTAATTTCTTAAAATATGATTTGCATTTATAAATTATAAAAATCCAATAACCATATTCAAAGCAACATAATAAATTCTATATTTACTAATTTATGAATTTTATATTTGTATTGTATAAATTCATTAAATTTTAAAAATATTTAGTTTAGTTATTTTATTAGGAATTTATAAAACTTAAAAATAAATTTACCATATAAGCATTATATGCATGACAAAACATATCTCTGGCTTCTTCTCTGTAAGTAGGATAATACATTTAAGAAACATAGAAAAATAAAATATTATTTTAATACAAAATTACAAACTGATACAAACTTTAATGCTTCCCGTTCTTCCTTGCTCATATATTCTAATGGATCATCTTCAGATGCAACTAATACTTGTATGCTGCATCCAAACATTAATAATCCCCAAATAAGTAAATCACAAGCCATTTTCCTTTGTATTAAAAAATATATTCCTCTTGATGTCAAGATCTTGTATTTGTAGCAGCACACATTGTTTTTTATATATTTTGTGATTTATTTTGTCAGAATATCATTATTGCATAATGACAAAATAATATGTTATAGTGGAAATTGTATATGCACCAATCTAACACGTTCTTTTGTTGATATTTTTACCTTTCTGTCTTTTGTAACATTTTTTAATAATTATCACATAAGCACCAAAAATTGATTAAAAATACATATTATTAACAGTAAAAGAAAAATTTACAATATTTAATCATTGACATTTATTAGATATAGTTTTAAATGCACATAGAAAAATTATAAATTATAAAGTAAAAATAAATATATACTACTTGTTTTAGGTTATACAGGTTCTTAATTATTTTTCGAGTTGATGATGTGTCAAAATATGACTGGCAGATAATCATAGAAATATGTATGTTGAAACACAATACAAAAAAAGAAAAATGGGTAAGAATAACAGTTGCTTGCGTATTTTCATCAAGTCCGGATGATGTGGCTACTGTCAGTTTGCTATTCAAACGATTTTTCACCTCGAACTACGATATATACGTGTAGGTTACACGCCATATGCTTCGTAGCTTATCATATTTTCGTGTTAAATAACATATTTCTGAAATTAATTTGATGCAATTATTCTAAATATAATATTGAGAAAAAATTCAATAAAATGTAATAGATTAATCATAAACAAGATAGTAGTATTTTTCTTAAAAAACTAACCTCTTAAAGGAAAATGCAATTGAATAGGAGAAATCACGTGACTGGCAAGCAATTTATCGTAATAAATCTTAAATTTAAATTTTTATCATGTATTTCTTTAGTATAAAAGATTAATGAAATAATTTTTATTTTAAAAATATTTTTTTTATTTAAATATTATAACACAAAGTCGAAGATTATTCTAAAATAATCATCTTCATAATAAAATGTAGTTGCATTGAATTGCGTCTTGAAATTGGATAAGACAGTAAAAGCCGGCATCAAGAGTAACGTGCAATGAACTTGTAACATTGAACCTTGATAAACGAAATTATAATTTTTTTCAAATTATTTAATTTAACAAAACAATCTGATAATATTAAGAACAAAAGAAAATAATGAAGCTCCTAACACATAATATGTTAACTTCAAAATGTTTAAAAGGTGTTACTGTTGGATATCCTCTGGGAATTATTGTAAGTTTTACATTTGTATAATTTTAAGGTTAATTTCAGTAAAAGAAATATTTAATAAATATTTAGTAAAATCATTGTGATATATTTATATGTGGTACTGTTACATTAAATAACATGACATATGTATACATATTTGATTCAATTTGTATTAATAAGAAGAGATTTTGTACATAAAAATTTGCAGGCAAAAGATATTAAAGTATCAGAAGTAGCTTTCAACTCAGAATTTATTGCAAGAATAATTCCCAAACTTGATTGGGCCACATTTTGGAAGGCTGCAGAAAGTGTAAGCTTTACACATTCTTATTTTATTAAATCTAATTTCTAAAATTGTTTACTACATTAGATGTATATAAAGTCTATAGAATAATTTCATATAATAAACTTCTAAATATTATAAAGACCTGTATTTATAATTTTTTATATATTTAGTACCATATTAAATATTAAATATATACAAACTTTATTTAATCATAAAACAATTTCATCACAATTATTTATTAAGTAATATGATTTTAAAAATTCTTTTTTATTTAATTATAATATAACTATGTAAAAAATTATTGTAAAAAATTATTACTTTATTCATTAAATTCAAGAAATTTGTTTTTATTTAATTTTACTTATTCTTCCACAAATATAAAATTAATTTTTTTTTCAAAATATTTTCAATATTTCTCTTAATTATAAATATAGAAAAACTAACAATCAGACAATGATATATGTCAGTGAATAATAATGTCATTATTAATGCAGATAGGACATGTGGGAGAATTACCACAAACTTTGATTCAAGATTTTGAGACAAATGAGGATTTTTTAAAGAAGGTTCATCATGTATTACTTGAAGTTGAAATTATTAATGGTGATCTACTATGTCCAGAATCTGGTAGAAAATTTCCTATTAATGATGGTATACCAAATATGCTTTTAAATGAAGATGAAGTTTAACGATTAATACTGCAGTAAACAGATTAGATGTTACTTGTATTTTCTTCTATACATGGTAGATATTTATATGTTGTACATAAAATATTTGTTTTTTATAATATGTATAATTTGATTCCATGTCTTTATTATATTTATTATTATTAGCACAAAATAATACAATAAATTAAAACTTTAAATATAACTACATAAATGTTATAATAGATTAAATAAATACAATAAATCATACTGCATTTCTAATAGTTTAGGCTATTTAGTAATTATATGTTATAAATTAATATCTAATATATTAGGGGAAGAAATAACATGTACATCATTATTATGTACATAAAGAATTAATTATAATCATAAAACCTTACTAAATAAATTGCTGCACAAGAAGATTGGTTATGGATATCTTTATTATACAGATATGTGTAAATACAATGAAATACATCTTTGCTTATTGTAATATTCAGTATACAACAATTGCATGTATATGATGTTCATATTGCTAGTTATGGATTGTTTTAATTTATTTCCAAGTGAATTAATCATTTAGTTCAAAGTATTTAGGATAAAATTCTTAAATCTAAATATGATTTTGACATTATGTAGTAACTATATTAAACACAAAATAATTCTGAGAATATCTAAATATATAGATTTTTTATGTATTCACATTGCATAAAATCTGTTAAAAATAGTTTTGTTTCTGTAAATAAAATAACATGTACACGAGAAAAATTGCGTGGAACTTGAAATCTTAATTGTGAAATAGGGTAACCCTTTAATATGTAACATTATTGTTTGAATATATTGCAAATATCTTATGGCATTAACATAACAAAAAACCCATATTAGATCAACAAATCCCATATGATAAAATACATTTTTTATTTTAATGATACCATAATTTCACTAACATCTATTGCACACAATCTCCTATAATATCTAATCCATACCTACATAATTTAAAAAGAATGGCAAATTTCTTACTTTACATTTTATTCCATAAGATAATATTTTACAAAACAATCTTTTGGATGGAAGAGTTAATAGAAACAAATTTGGCATTTTATGTTATTGACTAATAGTTACTCCACAGCAATACATCCCATACACACTATGTACCTTACAGAGATATTTAATTTGAGAGAATGTATTTTCTATTGAAATATCAAATTACAGTAATTAACTAATTGAAAAATTCAGTTATACCATTTAATGTTACTCTTCTGCATATGTGGCAATACTCAAAATATAGTCAAAATAGATTATTTTATCCCTTCTAGTTTCTTCACAATTCAAAAAGCTATAAAAATAGCTCTCAACTAATTTCAGCCACAGCCCATTTGTTATTAATTTTTATTCACATATTAAATTTTTTCAAAGGCAGTATTATTTTGGATTAAGCTATGAAAATACTTCTGTACATTCATTCAACTATAGCACATATAAAGTTTTCTTTTTGTTTAGTTTATTGTTGGAAACCCTATTTTGGTTATGGCCCATATTATATGTAATAATTACTTTGGAATTTGCATCATAAGTATGCAATTTGTATTCCATATCGATCGCATATTTTAATATGATTTAAAACGTATACAGAATATAAAACTAATAACTTCCCAAATATTTTCATATACTATTTCACATAATTCAGTTTTTTTTATATCTTACACTTATTTAAAATTTTGCAGTTAATAAAGAGAATTTAATCATTACAATAGTCAAAATTGTATGATCTTAAAAACTTCTGTGTTGAAATATGAATCATAAAAATTTCTGAACTATAGTTTATACTTATAGGTTCAAAAAAGTTTAATAATCTCTTGATTTTTTGTGTACTATTTTAATGGAAGTGCATAATAATATAATTTGTAAAATATGCACATATTAAAACATTTAAATTATCTTTAGACACTTATTATATATTTACTAAACCAATAGTTATAAACTATATTACAGAATATTTTGAATTTACGTTCAATTTTATATATTTCAACACTTAATTTTGTCAAAACAAGACAATTATTTAAGTTAAATTTAATTAACGAATATACTATTAAACCATAGACAGTTAAAATGATATTAATATTCTAAAATATTTCATCATGGAATAAGTTACTATTACTATTAGATATATTAATTGAATATGTTGCATTTGAATTAAAATAATTAGAAACTTCATTCATATTTGCAAAGAAGTTGACTTTAATGATATTGTGTTCAAATATGATGTTCAAATAATTGAATACTTTAAATTTTTTAAATCATCTTATGAACCTTTAAAAACTTGGTCATATTTATATACACATTAAAAGTGACAAGATATGTCATAAATGGAAGCATTACGATTTTTCCAAATTGATAATGCATACTGGAATATGATAATATATTTTTTAAATCATTTAAAATATGTATATCTAAATAAATTTGAACACTCCTTTATATATTCTTTCATGAATATATCTTGTTAATGTAGATAATTTACTGCTTATTTTTAATGTATAACAAAATGAATGTCTTATAATAAACACAAAACAAAATTGTTAACATGTAACAAAATAAAGAAATATTCAACTTCAATATAATAAATGCAATATAGAACTTAACAATTATTGTGTAAACAAATTACTATACATTATTATTGGAAGCTTCTATCCAACACATAAAGAATTAAGAAATAAATATTTCAGATAATTAATATCCAATTGCTTATCTATAGCTACAAATTTGCATAATGTATACGAAAATATTAAATTAAGAACAATACACACAAAACTGAAACATACTTTCAATTTAACAAACATAAAAATTAACAAAGAAACAATTACACATATTTCATTTACCATGGTTTTCCATATTTGAAATATTTCTTTGAGAATAAATAGAACCTTGAGTTAATTCTTTTGTTGGTCTTTTTCTTAATTCTGGATTAGGTCCTTTGGCAATATAACGATTTCCAAAAAGCAAACTCGTATCATGTCCATTACTTAATGTTTTATTGTGTATTTTTTTAGTCAACAGACTTGGATCTGGTCCTGACCATGGTGCATAATCAGGTCTAAAATTGTCGTAACAGCAATAATTCCACTTATTGCTTACTTCAATCATATACTGAAAACATTTTATTTATCAAAAAGAAAATGTTTAACTTACAAAAGTAAATCATTATTTGCTCCTTTTGGTAAATCAGGATTTGGTCCAATTGGTTTTGTTAGATATGGAGACTTGTACTCATTGTCTTCTGTAGTACTTGTTCCTCGAGAAACTCTAAAAACATTAGTGGCCTTATATAATTTTTTTTCTTTTTTTGTTAATTTAAAAGATCTGAATATAGTGAAATATAATAGAAGTTTGCTTTACTTTGGTATCTCTATTTTATTTTTAGATCGTTTAGATTTTTCAGAATCTGCATCCTTAACTATTTTCTTGATTGGTGATGCAGTTAATCTTACAGCTTCAGTTATTGGTGGACTATCTTTTCTTTCATCACTTCTACTACTGCAAATGTTAATAAAACATATTTTCATAGCATACAAATTTATATATATGACATAATTAGAATACTATTTATTAACATTAAACCTATTACGATCAGCCAAATGATCAGTGGATGAAAAAGTGAAAGAAGACCTTAAAAAAAATCTTGCATTAAGAAAGATATTGAAAAATTGATTATATGTATATTAAAAAAAAATCATGAAGTGAATTGACTAAAGCAATAATGATGAATGTGAAATTGTTAATCAAAAGTTTAAAAACAGCCATTTAGGCTACAGTAGGTTCGGTGTTAAGAACTGTTTACTACCTTTGACTACTTGATGTACACAGAGGTCTTGTAGCTTCTTCTGTAACCATGATATCTAATATGTGTATTGCTCTTTCCTCATCATAATCAACACTATCCATAGCAAGTATTATTACTCTTTCTGGTACTGATTTATACTTTTCCATTAATCGCATTTTCACTAATAAATTATAATTCAAAAATTAAAATATTAATGTGCAACACTCTAAAAAGCATTATTAAATATACTTACTTTTATTTTTTTCTTCTAAACTTTTCATACGTGGTGGAGGAGTAGGTGCAGTTTGTTGTTCATTCTTTATCTATAAAAATAAAATACAAATTAATTTTTGAAGTAATTATGTTAATTAAACATGTAAAAAAATGTAATATGTTACTTGTTCTTCTTCCTTTTTTCTCAGTGATTTAGGCGCAGTAGGATTTCGTTTTTCATAGCCTAAATCAATTAATTTTTCAGAAGCTTTTTGAACATTATTATCACTTTGTTCCAATATATCAAGTAACATAGTTTCCTCAACTTTTGGAAATACATTTTTCAGGTACCTGTACATGTAATATTTTAATGTATAATATTTATTAGAATTATTTTATAATGCACAGAATATAAATATAGACACAGTCTACAATACAGGACTGAATATTGTGCAACTGACAATTTACTTATAACACAAAAAAAAGATACAATGGAAAACAAATTAAATATTGAAATAATATTATTTTTAGTAGTTAGTAATTAAAATTTATATAGTACACTACTTCTAATATTTTGTATAGTATGCACATGTCATTGATAATTTGACAATTTAAAATATATATTATTGAGTATTTACTGAAACTAATACCAATATATTGATTATAAAAAGAATAAAATGATGTTTCAATTACAAATAAATATGGACAGTTCAAATTACAGTACACATGCACATACTGACATGCTTAAATCACATTTTTGTTGAATAAATGAGTTTTTACTTTTACACTGATTTTTACATGAATTTTTCTTATAAACAATATACTAGCATCACTTTTATTCAATTTTGATAACACTTAAATACTTGAAATCTATATCTTTCTCAATTTAAGTAATTGAGAATTAACTCATTTATCATTACTGAACTTTATACAAAGAAAAAACGGTTTTTAAAAAATATAAAAAATATTTAAATTTGTTAAAGGCTAAATTATGGAAATTGAACAAAAAAATACATTAATGATATAAAACTGAAACCAACCTATCTATGATCTGTGTAAATTTGATACTATCCAACGTGTGATGTACTGTAAACCAGAAAGAAACTGAAATGAAAAGTGAATTCCAAATGACAATGCTATGTAGAAAAAAAATCAAATAAAAAGTATAAAAATAAAAAATGAAATAGAAATGAAATGAATAAAAAATAAAACAAAATTTATTGAATTTTTAATATCATCCTTTGAAAACTACTCAATACAAAATTATCTACTACACAAAATGTAAATTCTTGCAATATATTACTATTATTACTTTATAAAAATATTCTGCATTCTCACATTAATTGATTGCAATATTATCATATATAAAATTATACTTAAATTTTAACACATTGCAGATAAATTAATTTGTAATTTCTATGTATACATTATATAAAATAAAAAGATGGATCTTGTAAATAAAAAAATCTTTAATTATATAAATAGTCTGCAATGTGTGTTCACACATGCTATCACTACACATTACTGTATGGCCATGTATACAAAATATATCAGATATTCATAGTATTCTACCCTGCTATCTGATATATTTCTTTGCAACTATCACAAGATACAATATCAACATCTAGCATCCATATTTGGTGAACTTCAAATTAGAAATATTGGGAAAAACCTAAGTTTCATTTTTGGGGAGTTAGGGGCGGGCCGAGCCCCACGAGGTGGACTCAATGTTAGAGCTGCATGTATAGCATGTAGTGGTAAACGCCATCTTGGTATTGCATAGTTTGAATGCACTCCCACAGGTGTGCATGGTCCTGGCGCACAAAGAGGATTCTTTTCCACTTGTAAAGCGCTGACAACCAAAGCTGCTCTGTTATGGTATCTGAAAGACATCAGCTACCAACTTAGCACTATAATTGATACAGTGCTAACAAAACTCATAGAAAGAAACTAATATATAATTAGCACAAATATAACTAAATATGCAAGAAAGTATAGTTTTTTATGTGTATATGTTAACATGAGCTGGGTTTAAAGACAAAAATTTACATTAAGAGAAGTAAATAAGATTACCTAAAATTTTTTTGATAATAATATATAGCAATGTAAAAAAGATTTGTGTGTGTAGATGTATGTTAAATTCTAAGACTTACTTTTTCAATAGAAGTCGAATATGAGTATCAGAAACTGTTGGAAACATTGCATTGATTTTAGCAACTTGTAATTCAGAATCCGAATTTTGTGTTAAGCATGTTTCCATATTCTTTATTGGTGTTGGAGATCCTAATGTCATATCCCCGAGCCTGTTTGTCATTGCACTAACCGATTTTAGTGATAATGGAGTTTTCAAGTCCTATATAAATTATTTTCTTTAGATACTGTTAAAGGCAATTATTTTATATATAATATTGAGAAAATATATTTAATAAATATATCAATATATGATCAAATTAACATTAAAATTCATATAAATCAATGTTGTATATTTAATATTAACAATTATTTAAATAACTTTTAGTAATTTATAATTAATAAAAATTTGTTCGTTCTTTAAGCCTTTATTTTAAGTCTAATATTAGAGTATCAAACAACATATAATACACATATAATTACAAATTACCTACCTGTAAACTAGGAGGTAAAAATGCAAGTTGCGGATTATGATACGGAGATAGTGTAGGATAAATTTGAGGAGCTCTGTGAGCTCCTGCATAACCTAAATGTCCACCACCTCCATTTCCTCCAGTCTATTATTTTGTTGTACATGTTATATTTTATCCAAATGCAGCATGTGCATATGACAAGAATACATATATTGCAAGTGCAATTATGAACACTTTAACACATGCACGAGTGCAATTTTAAAACACCCAGATATTTTTTCACACATAAGAATAAATGTTTTTTATGTGATGATTTAACAAATTTTACATATTTAACATATAGCAGGTATTATTTACTAACCTGCATAGGTATATCTTGGGAAGTAATAGTTGGAGCAGAACTCAGTGCCATTGAATTTTGTGATTGTACATACTGAGAATACTGCCAATATCTTACTCTTGGATATTCCCATGTTGTTGTACGATTTACATGATTTATAAAATAGCTGAAAAATGTTTTAAATTGCTTTGTACAATAATTGAGAAGTTTAATGTTATTTACTATTATGTAACATTTGATTACAACCGTTCATAATAATTAATATACCACATATCTCAAAGAAATGAAAAAAAATTATTTAATAAAGAGCAATTATATACATTAATATTCTTTTGTTTAGTTTATATATAAATGTATCACAAAGTTAAATGACGATGTAAATTGTGATTGCGTAATATTAGTTATTTACAATGAATAAATATTTCTAACAATTTTTATTTTCCCTAACATTAGATAACAAAATAATAGAAACTTTTGTAAAAAATGTACATACGGACGACCACTTCGAATGTCATATCTGCATTCCCAACCGGGTGGTAGTTGACTCCTGTCACTTTCTTCAGCCATCTTTACGTATTTTGATAACTCGATCATAAGTTCTTCCGGAACTAATGGTAGGTATTCATTACGGTTAGAAGTAAATTGAATTATTGACGATACAAATCAATCAAAATCAATTATTTCAACATAAATTATTTTATTTATTAGTTACTAAACAATAATTTAATATTATTAATTATTAATATTTATTGCATATTAAAAATGTATTATTAATTAAATGATACTTTAATTTAATTAAAATTAAGTATTTGTAATTTAATTCAGCTTAAATAACTTTTATCCTATTTTCTTTATTTTAAATACTTTTGTCACATATTTCAAATGTAATATACAAAATATTTATTTAAATAGATAAAAATATTCAATAAAGTGAAATAAAATTTAAAATAAATTATATTTCAACTAAAAATTTATTTCATACTATACTATTATTTAATTATTACAGCATTTATTTCTTAAAATATCAGTTACATTATAAAACTATACTTAATTGAGGAACAACAAATTATCTATTAAATATAAAGCTATTATTGCATTTAATTACATACTGTTTACAATTTCATATTTTTCTACTGAATATAATAAAATGTGTATAAATTATATGAGTTTGATAATCATAAATAGTTTACAAAATCCTTTTTGATAAGCAACCAATATATATCATCTTTCTTTTTAGAAGTATTTATATTTTTTAATATTAAAATCATTTATTTGCTTGTAATATTAAGAAATAAATATTATTCCTTCTTTTCTGACATCAAGTCTTTATACATGGCATATAACGTTCCAAAACCAAGGCAGCCTATTATTGTGCCTTGGGCTGCAAGTCTTAGTTGTAGAAGATATATAGATGGTTTTATTTTTTTCGATTTCCAGTTATATGCACCTATACCACATATAGCACATAAGCCTACTATACCTATAAAAGAATGTTTTAATTATTCCTCTATAAGGTAACATTTATATTAAAAGCATTATAAGTAAAAGTTTATTTAAATATTAGTTGTGCTTTGATATAAAAAGTGATAGTACAAAGTGAAACAATTATCATAGAATATTAAAGTGATATATTTACATAATTAATATTTATTAACATTTAATGAATATATAAAATAATTTTAATTATTTACATAATTAATATTTATATATTTTTTCTCTATATTCATAACTGATTTGCAAAAGAAGAGCAAAGTTTATTTAGTATCAAAAACATACCAACTACAAAAGATGGGGAACGCTGCATTAGTCCATATAATCTATCTGATAATGGTGCTTCATGCTGTAATGTTTGTTTATAAGCCTCCTCTGGAATTTCTATTGGGACTGCATTTTTCCAAATAGAATCATCCATTGTTCACCTGTACATATTTTTCTTATTTGAAAGGAGAAAAAAAAAATTGAACACAATAAAAAATATTATATATGTAATAAATCAATTATTTATAAAATTTAAAATATTTTTGTTTAATTTATATAAAAAATATTTATAATAGAAATTAATTAATAAAAATTGCTTTGAAAATAAAAAATTGATGTTACCTATGTATTGCATAACACAAGAATCTATATTGTAATTCATATATATATATATATTTTTTTTCTAGAAATATTTAGAAATATATTTAATCTTTGAACAATAATAATTTTTCAAACATACATGTAATTCTAATTATTAAATACTTATTAATTATAAATTATGTAAATATTTGATAAAATACAGGTTTTTTGAAATTATTGTAAGTTATCATTTATAAAGATGTGAATTTTATTTATATAATTTTTATAACTTAAAAACATTTAATATAGCAAGTCATTGAATTCGTTCCTGACGTGTCTATTAAATATAAGAAAATAAAATATAATGTTTTATTTGAAAAGGACAAAGTTAATTTTTTTATTTCATTAGTCTTTTCTAACATAATAAAACTATTGTTATTATATGCTAGTTGTAACAGATTTTTTAAATTTTTACATAGAATATTTTTATCACACATTACTTATAGTAAAGATGTTTCAGATGATAATAATATATGACATACTCTATGTACATTTCTAAACATATATATATATTATAACCATTTTTTCATTGATTTTCATTGATTTTCAATTATAGTATGCGCATACACAGTTCAATATTACAATAATAATGTTTAAAATAATCAAATATTAAAATTTTATTTCACAATAATAACATTACATTAATAATTACTTTATATTAGTAAAAAGTAGATGCAATAAAAAGAATTCAAAATCACATGGTTCATCAAATTATATATCTCCGATTTAAAAAAGAGTATAAAGCAATAGTTTTGATTTAAAAGATAATTTTTATCGTAATATTATTTTTTACATTAAAGTTAGGTTTGTGTAATTAAAATAAATGTTAGGATTAATTAATTTATCTTAAATAATATATTTTGTAATTTTTCTATGAAACAATATTCATTACGCTTATAAATTATATATTTTGGTTTGCAATTGCCTTAAACACAACAATAAATAAATACTGTACCTTTATTGTTCGAATAATATAAAATATTCACCAACGATTAACAACGCAAACTACGTTCTTCTATCGTTTGCGACTATTATGACGCAATCATTTCGCGCATGAATGTGCGATTTCATTTAACTCTTACATATATGCACGTGTCAAACAGCACGGTGCTGCACCTAATGGTTCTGATACAATTTTTAAATTTTATGAATTTCATATATAAATTTGAAATATATATGTAGATTTAATGTATTTTCTTATTAAAATAAATAATTGAATCATTTATATATGTATATATAAATACATAAAATTATTAACACCCTAGATAATAGTTACCAATAATTACATAACAATTAATTTTTATAATTAAACAAGCTTTTGTGCAATTTTTTGTTATTTATTTTGTGGAAATTTATTTATTTTGCATTGACAGCAGTTTGTATTTTACAGAATAATTTATATTTGAAAAAGTTTTTTAATAAGTGAAGATTTCATTTCCTTTATTTTAATTTAACGTTTACATATATGATATTAATAATTATAAAGTCTCAATTTATATATTATTTGTAATTCCAAACGATAATATTTAATGTAAAATACATAATAAGTTATATGTTTACACAAATTCAAATTTGACCGCCATGATATATTTCTCATTTATTTATTTCCTCTTAATATATTAGCTAATATAATATTAAAATTATATATATTATTTTCTTATTATCCAATAATAAAGCAATGGTCACGTGTAAGGTATCCTTATGTACTTATATATTTGGTACATATTATGTATGTATTTTGCTTATACAATAAACCAGACTGTGTCAGATAGGAAGATTTTATTTGACAAACCGCCAGAAAGTCAAATAGATGGTGATCAATACTGGTGATATAAAAGAAATAAATTGTGACTGACATTAATTTCAAATATAGTTGTATTTTTCTATAAATTTATGACAGACAATAGAATTAAGAAATATGCGCCTAAAAGTAAAATACACTAACCTATTAGTTACCAATTCTATGAAAATATTTAGAAAATATTAATCATATAATTTTGTAACATTTTACAAGCTATCTGTTTTCATAAATTTTTTAAATTAATGAATTTATACATAACTAACATTTTAAAGTAACATCACTTGAATATTATATAGTATTTAAAACTAATTACAATTATGGCAGCAATAAGACATACATTACAAAGAGAAGTGTTTACACCTAGTGATGAGAAATTACTCAGTGTATGCTATGTTAGTAAGGCATATAAAAAAAAGAAAATGAGTTTTTTGTGTTTAACTACAACCACAGACTCACCTTCATCGTTACTTTTATATCAAGTAAAAAAGAATGATAAAAATGTATTTAAGAAAAAGCAATCATGGTCTTTAAGTGATATTCAAATTGTGGATGGCGTTAAAAATGATTCTATGGATATAGAATTACATATTGATAAAGTATATAAATGGTCAGTGACAACAGTACAAGAACGAAGGACATTTATAAGTAATTTATATACTTATTCTTGTAATTTAGCTCAAAGACCACAATTTAGAAATATTCCTAAAGAATGGCTTATAGATCCTAGTTCATTAAAAAAGGGTGATAGTATTACTTTTACACCAGGTAAATATTATAATCTTTTTTAAAGATGTAAATATATATATTCTATTTTGAAATTTATTTATTTATATTTCTAGCAATATTCAATAAATGAATGTGGAATGTAATTATAATAATTTCAGTTAAATTAATATTATTATATTTTTAGAACTATTAACATCTCCTATTTCATCTGATTACCAACCTATTACTGAAAAAGAAGCTATAGATTTAAAGCAAATGATGGAGGACTGTGATTATGCAGTCTCAAATGCTGAACTTTTTATGGAAACCCTTTCTAAAGATCTCTCAATTCTGGATGGGGTAAAATTATAGTCTTAGCAAAGTATCAATTAGAACTGATATAAAAGAATTTAATTCATAATAGATTTTTTATTATTGAATATAGGAAAATGTGCAATCAGTTTTGGCATCAGAAGCTCGAGTAACTCAATTAATGAATAGTATAGAAGCAGCAATAACTGAAGCTTCTATCGTTGAAGCTCGTCTTGCAGCTTATGATGAGGCCCTTGGTAGGATTAGAGAAGTTATGGCACGTGTAGGCCAAAAAAATCAAGCTATCCATACAGCTAATAGTAATGCACGACTTTTGCTAGATCAATTGAATACAGTAATTGTAAGTAATTTTTATAAAATATGTGATTCAGTTATTTTTTTTCAAAGTCTACATAATCATTTAATTTATATTTATATTAGTAGGTCATTTAATTTACACTTATATTAGAAAATAATTTAATTTAAAATATAAACATCTAATATATTTAAAAATTGTATTCTTATATACTTTATTACATGTATATATATTTTATTTTATCTATACAAAATTCTGGTACTAATTTTTTAATAACAAAATTTTGATTGTATAAGTCACAATTAGATATTTCATCAACACATCAGCGTATTTTGAGCGAAGCTGAGCTTCCAGGAGAAAAGGAGGAACTTAGCCAAGCAGGTGCTGCCCTTTTAAAAGCAATAACAGCTCCTCTACCACCAGGGCTTGATAAATTAAGTGCAGTGACAGAACAAAAAAGACGACTTGATAAGCTTAGAGTTAAATTTTCTGTAATTGTAGCTAGACATCTAAATAACCTTTTCATACATTTGGTACGTTTATCTACGAGAGCAGTATATAATAAAGTATCATTGATATTAAAATATAGTATTTTCATAGGGTAATGATGTTGGAGATATGTCAACATCAATGACAGATTTAATTCTTCCAACACATCAAGCAGTTCATCATGAGCTTGAACCATACACAGAGTTAATGCAATTATTAAGAGCATTAGATAATAAGGCTTTTGTGCAGTTAACCAAGGTTTATACAGATACAATGAGTAAGTTATACAAGAGAGATTTGAAACGATTTTTTGAAGAAGCAAGGAATAAGCTTATTTGTAAACGTCTTCAAGGTACATATTGTATTTTTCTTTTTATCATTAATCATATTAAATCTTACTTTTTAATAAGAAAGCACATTTTAAAGCAAATACATCAAAGTCTAGTGGTCAAAAAACAGAAGATTTACTGAATCCTGCACCTATTTGTTTATTAAGTGGTGAAATATGGGCACCTGTAGGGGAAGGAAATCTTTTGGATTCAGTTCTTGATTGTATGCTTTCTCAAATGCAACCAGTTTGCCTCGCAGAACAAGCATTTTGCATTTCATTTTTACAATTGGATTCTGTTCTTTCTCCATCAAAAGTATGTAAATTGTTACTATGGATTCATTACAATATTTAAAACTAAGTATTTATCTAAATGTGTTAGAGTAGTGAAATGGAAGAAGTAGATAATATTAGTAATGGAGCTGCAAGTCCTGGATCAGTAACTTCTACAGCAAGTAAGAAATTAGAAAGACAAGTAAATGAAGAAGTACGTGCAACAATGGCAGCTATATTTCCGTCATTGGAAACTGAATTAAGTAACTTTATTGCTTTTTTGGATAAAATTGATAGCTTGTAAGTCTTCAGAAAATTTTTATTCTTTAAACTAATTTTTCTTCAATTTTACTTTTATGACTGATAAAAAAAATTTCAGTTGGTGTATGTATGTTTTGGTGCGTTTATCACAACATGTTATGTCTGCACAAGACACTGGTTCATTTTTATCTATGACATTTGCTTCTGCCCTAATTCAAGTTAAAAGAGCATTTGATAAGTTCATGCAAACACAATTACAATCAATTCTCTGTGATACTAAAGTTAATCGCAGAAATAAGTGTGGTATATTATCATATGTAGAAAATTTTGAACCATTTGCAAGAACAGCAGAAAAAATCTTTAAAAATTCAGATCGGAAAGTTGATCTTGAAAAGTGGTATACTAAATTAGTAGGTACAATGTTTGAAGCTATTGTTATCCACAGTAGAGACCATCATAAAACTCCACAGGAAGTTATTAAGATGGGTATGATTAAAATTACATTGTTATTTTAATTATTATACACTCAAGTAATAATTATGTTATATTTTAGAAAACTTTCATCATTTATATGATCTTCTATCACAATTAAAAATACCTGTTCTTGATCATGAACGAAAGGAAGCTAAACAAAAATATCAGGATGCTTTATGTGTATATGTTACACAATATTTTGGAAGGCCTTTAGAAAAACTAAATGTTTGTGACATAAATTATTTTTAATTTGTATACTTTTTTTCTTGACATTATTATGTATATTATATTTACAGCTATTTTTTGAAGGCGTACAAGTAAAAGTTGGTGCTGGAGTTAAAGAGTCTGAAGTTAGTTATCAAATGGCTTTCAGTAAACAAGAGCTTAAACGTGTTGTAAAAGAATATCCCGCCCGAGAAGTTCAAAAAGGTTTAGAAAATTTATATAGAAAGGTTGAAAAACATTTATGTGAAGAAGAAAATTTATTACAAGTAAATGAAAAATATAAATAATTTATTTATCCTTCTTGTATTTTATTGTATAATGAATACTGTTTTTTTCACATAGGTTGTTTGGCGCGAAATGCAAGGTGAATTCATTGCACAATATAAATATATAGAGGAGTTAATTAAAAGATGTTATCCAGACAGTATGGTAACTCTTGAATTTACTATGCAAGATATTTTAGACTTCTTCTCAGAAATAGCTCGATCTCATTAAATAATTCTTTAATACAAATATACAAAAATTGTAAAATAGGCACTACATGGTATATGTTAGTATTTAAATTGAAATAACACAATAATGTAAATATTTAATTTTCATAAATACCATTTAAATTTTTGTTAAGTTTGAATTTTTGATGAAATAAGAAATAAAACAAACTTATTTATTTAATAAAATTTAATGCAAGCATTTTATGTATTTTAATTCATAATAATTTTGTAATATTTCTGAAAATATAAATTAAAAATTTAAATACAAAAATATTAAAAAAATAAAAATATATTTTTTAAGCTGTCAATAACTATTTTCATTCTTTCTTTCTACTAAGAAATATAATATAAAAAAGTAACATATGAAACATAATATAAATGAAAATGTTTTATTATGTTTTACAATAAAGCAATTATATCATAGTTATATTTATTAACTGCTACAATATTATATTTAAATATTCATTTTACTTAGTCTTCATCTTTTGGAACTGGTGCACTGTAGTTAAGCCAAAGTAATCCAGTTACTCTACCCTAAAAATTGAAATAGTATAAGTAAAAATAATTAAATAACCTTCAAGATAATAAATTGTGATACACACATATGCTATGGTTCCAATAAATATAACGATACCAGCTATTAATTGTAAATTATATTTTCTCTGGAGCTTAGCATGTGATTCTTGCCAAGAACCATTTGGTACGGGTATTTCATCCATACTTGGTGGTTTGACATTATCAGGTACATGGTAAGATCGCACACCTTTAATATTATATATTATTATTAGAAATATAATAAATAAGATAATATAAAAATTCACTGTTAAAATAATTTTTATCTTGGATCTAAATCATTTTATATAAATAGAAATTTTTCTCTTTAAAAAATCTTCACAGATTATACTAACAAAATTATTTCAATTAATCATGAATAATATACATATGTTATTTTTTTTTTATGAAATATATGTAAATTGCTTTCATAATTGCTAATAAATTTTTAAATAATATCAAATGTCGGAAATCAATATTATGTAAGAATCTTTAATAATAAATTATTTTGAAACCATAAAATGATATATATAGTAATATTATTAACTTACCAATTCGTGTATTTCGAACAATTGGTTGTAGAATATGTCGTAACATTTTTACTATTTATAAATTTTTAATACTTAAATAATACGCACGTTCTGGAACAGCACAACTGCACATACAAAATGGTAAAATATATCCAACGTCTATGATTATGCGCATGTAGTTGTCCTTAAAACGTGATACCTAGATGGGAAAATCGCTTTTTAAAACTGTCCCACATTGAATAAACGGTTACATGTAACTAATACTTGTATTTAAAAATTCAGACACTGTTATAATTTATTATACAATTTTAGTGATTCTATATTTAAATTTTATAAAATATTTACCTAATTATGTACATATATTTTATTTCAATATGTGGACATATGTCTTTGACAAGAGGTAATAATCTTGTATAAAAACGAGGGCAATTTCACTATACATTTTGTAATAATTTATTCCAGCATATTTGAAAAAATATAAATGTTTAAAATATCAATTACATAAATTTAAGTCAATGATCATTTCATTTTTATTACTGAAAAATTGTTTCTAACATATTAATTTTTATTATATGTATTTTTGCACAGTAGTAAAGTAAACATGGGCAATTCAATTCTCTTTTTGTTAAACAATGATCGCAAAAGTAAATAATGAAAATACTTATATTAGGTATATTCTCGAATACACAATATTTATAATATTTTTGACTTGTACAACATGAAGAGACATAACTGTTTTACATTTGCTATTTTATATTTTAATATTATTACACTTAATTTGTTTTCGGACGTGTATTAATATAATGCCAATTTTATCATTTGGTTTTATACATTTACATTGTATTATCATATTCCCAGCTAATATAGCTCAGGAAACAATACAATTTGACTTTTCTTGTACATTTCCATCTGCTTTTTCAATTTCAATCAATAATGTATGAAAAATATCTGCAACAGACTAAAATAATACAAAATATTATATTACAATTATGATTAATTTAAAAAAAAAATAACATAAATTTACCTCATTTTGTTTTGCACTTGTTTCTAAGAAAGCTGCGTGCCAAGAGTCTGCCAATCGCTTACCCTGCTCTGTTGTTATCATTCGGTCTACATATAAATCCGTTTTATTTCCTACTAATACAATTGGGACACTGAAATTCGTGAAAATATATGATATTAAATATATTATATATGCTAGGAATTTTCTGGCATAAATTAAAATAGTAAATAACAATATAACATACTGGACTTTTCCCGTTATATCCAATAACTTGTCATAAATAATTTGTACAACTTCAAAACTCTTAGCACTGGTTATGCTATATACCAAGACATAACCATGGATGTCCATAGAATACTGTGTAGGAAATATACTATATTCATCTTGACCTGCTGTGTCTACCAATTTAACTTCATAATCTTGACTATTTACTCGAGTACTTTTTGTAAATGCTGAAAAACACATAAATTAATTGTATAAAGAGGTAGGCCAGAATAAAACATTAACACCCACATCTCTTAAATTTTTTCATCAAATTTAAATTTTCTGACAGATTTTTGACAATAAAAGACACAAATTTGTTTTTAACATTTTACAAACTTTACTTGAAGAAATAAAAAATAAATTTGATGGTAAGATGTAAGGTGCTACTATAAAAATACATATATATCAATTACAATAAATAAATATTGTAAAATATTTAAATTTTACATGGAACAGGAAAACTAATAACTGAAGAGTTCATGCATATTGCTTAATAATGCATCATGCTGTAATAAAACCAATTTGTATATTGGGTTAATGGTAATTATTTAGTCACATACAAACCGCACATAATGTAAACTAATTCAGATAATAAAATACCTTTTGTACATGAACATTATGTACATAAAAGTAATTTATTCAATAAAAGTGAGTAGCATTTCATGAAAACCAAAATCAATTCATAAAGATTTCCAAATACCTATATTACATAATTTATAATTACAAAGTTATTAAATAAAGCACTATTAAACTTGTAAAGCAATATATTTCTAATTTTTCAATCATATTATTTTTTTTTTTTAATGTCAACCTTATCATTTTATCAACTGTATATGTTTTATTTAGTTAACATTTTTTTATTTTATACAACAGTAATACTACTATTATGTATATAGTGATAAGATTTGAAAAATATATATTTCATAACTATTTTACAATAGTATCTTTGTAGTTATAACAATGGAAGAAATGTATACTTTTATTTGTAATATTTTAAAAAGAAGAACAGGAATTTTAGTATCTAATGAATATGTTAAACAAAATAAAAAATTAAAATTCTTTTAGTCATGGAAACTAATTTCCTCAAATACAATTTTCAATAATTAAATAAAGATTCTAAATAAAGATTCTATTATAGTACAATGGACATAAACATTAATATTCACAATTTTTCAATTATTACTAACTTTGAAATATAATTATATAATCCAAATAATAATGCTATTAAATGGAAATTGAATTTACTTAGATTTAAAATAACAATCTGATTATAAAATTTTATATTTATGCACTCTAATTACTAGAATACGAAAATAAATTAAGATGTTTATATACCATACAAAAATTTGCAAATATATTTATAATATTAAAGATATATATTATTGAAATATCTAAATATATTACATTACCTGAAATGTATATTTCTTAAAAAGAAATTATCAGAAAATCTTTGAATACAGGAAAGATTAGCATGCTATCTTTTTATACTGATAATAATTATGCCAAACACTTTTTAATACAATATTTTAACTAAATTTATATATGTTTAAAAAACAAATAAACTTACAGATCTGTTTGCTAGAATTTTTATTTAGTTTTAAAATGTAAAATAAATATAATATTCTTTTATGTTATTGTGCACAATTTTTTATTATTTTATTTAATTATAAAATTATAGAACTTCAATATTTTTAATTCTGTTTAATTAAAAATAAAAGAATTTTAATATTTTTACATAATTATAGATTATCAACTTTTTCCAATACATGTAATTATAATTGGAACCACTCATTTCAAAAGTTGATAATCAATTGTAATGCAAACATATTGAAAATTTTTATTTTTATTTTAGAAATTTTTTACTTGTTAAAAATTAAGTAAATCCAGAAAAATGTTTATTCATTCTATAATAAGTTTTCATGAATTCTTTGCTTGTTTACAGCATGAATTACTAACAGAATGTGCAGAAAATACTACTAACAGTGTCATTAGAAATCATTGAAGTAGCGTGTAAGACGATACAGGTACTTCTTACTATTTTCTATAGTAGGGTCATATGAGTCCACGAACTGTCCCTCGACGAATTGTATGCTCAGTGATGACTTGCCTATTAAGATTAATAAAAAAATAATACGTATTAAAAATATAGAGTTTTTATAAAATATTTGTATAAATATATGCATGTTTATATAAATGTCAAGTCAATCACATAAATAGAGAAACAATTATATTTTAAAATATTAATTAATATATTACACCTATAATATAAAAGAAATTTTTATAATTTCCATTGGATATAATAGAATTTAATTTCTCATTTAATTTTCAAATATAATATTAAAAAACTAACTAAGCCCTAATGTAATTATTTATTTAATATTATTATTATTAAGATTAATTTTATAAGAAAGTGTTTCATTTATAACAATAACTTTTCATTACCAACAGATCTATAACCCATAATGGCTATTTTCCTTTGTTTTGGTGGCATTTTTCAGCATTTATAAACAGAAACGCTGCAACAGTAGTCCATAAAGGCTGGTGCATGCTCCAGTTAGGATCTGTGCAGAAAATTAGAATAAAAAATATTAAGAATTATGGGTACTTATTTGTTTTAGATAAAACAATGCCCTTTTAAACAAAGTGTTAAATAATACTATTACTTTGAAAGATTAACATAATAAATTGATTCTAAATACTCTAGCTTTTATTTTCTATTAAATTTACATTAAAACATATAACATATTAAAATTATATTATATTATATTGAATTGTAAACAATCCAAATAATTTAACAAAAAGTAATTTCAAATTAAGTTTCTAAATAAATCAAACAAAAGTTTCATAAATCTATTTGTCTTCACTGTATTTATTTACTAATTTGCTATGAAGTTTGAATATAATATAAAAGTTTTAAAAATTAGCTCTGACCTTTTTAATTATGTGAGATTATGATTTAGGTATTTTGAACATAAACATGGGTTAATTCAAATTCTAATAATTCTAATTCAAGTTATAAACAAGATAAATATGAAAATAATGAACTGTTTTCCCCTTAAAGAAATATTTTCTATAAAATTAATAAGTAAAAATTACAAAAACCGCGTGTATAAAAATGCACATAAATATATATACATAAATGCACATCTAGGCATAGTTGTATACGTATATTTTCATGCATTATTATGTATATATACTTCCTACTTATATAGTAATTATTTATTTATATTACAAAATAAGATTCTGCTATTTTATAACATAAAAATTACATTTACCATAAATAGATCTTTCATTATATTACGTACTATTTAATGCACATGCAATACTCACCAAAAGAGAAGAGGTACATTAGGTGCGTTTCATATTAATCGACATATCGACTGCTATTATATGTCAAGTATTTAACCAAATAGAAGTTGATATTTGTATGACGTCTTAAAATAAATTCTTGAACACTACTAATTGGAAATATTATTATCTTTTTATACACTGATGCTATAGTTTTCTACTGATATTTTATATGGAAATATAATTTTTCTCAAAGGAAGTTTGGAAGCAAATGATGAACTACGCACTTTGTATATCACACACAAAGAACTTTACACTCTACTTAATGTTAATTACTATTGCATATTATGAAACACTATGTTAATGTCGCAAATATTTCATGAGAAATATGCTTATAACGCTGTCTCGAATCTTACTTACTAAAAAATGTATAACAATATGAGACATTACGACTGCTTGCCAGCGAATATTTCAGTCAGATGCGCCATCTGCTCGAATAATATAGAAATTAATAAATTTAAACGTATTTGTATTACACTTCGCGAAAAGTTATCTATTATTTATTCCTGAAAAACTGATTAAGATTGTAAAATGCAAATTTATTAAAATGAATACAGTATCTGTAATTATTAGAAGTTTAGTATAAGCTTTCCTACTAATTATATTTATAAAAATTGAATTATAATTAGAAATTCATCTTCATAAAAAATTAATACACATTATAAATTAACAAAGCTAGTTAAAATAAAAATAGTGATCTTATAAAACTAAAATTGTAAAATTTCCATATTCATTAAAACTGTAATTATGTTAATCATATTATTAATTAATATAATTAACATATTTACTATAATGAAATATAATTAATGTGTTTACATTATACTTTACAATTTCACCCATTTATATAACGTTTCCTTTTATTGATCCTTTTATTAAAATATTATATCTTTTAATATTTTTAATTGAATAGCTGTGAAATTTTGTTTGCAGTGTCGAAGTGTAAATAAAATAACTAAACATAAAAGCGGAATATATGAAATTCGTTAAATGTTTAGAATACTGTTAGAAGAAAATTTCTATAACCTCATTTTATAAATTTACTGCTCTGATACAAAATGTACAAGAAAAAATGTACGCAGATCCCTGTTTTATTTTATACCTATAAAAGTAGCACACCAGCGTGTAATGTGCATTTGTAGATATATATCGATAAAATACATTATGCAAAAAAATCGCAAAGTAGAACCGGTTCAGTAATAACATGCCAATATCGTAGATATCTCCCCTCTATATCATGAAGCTTTCTCTTAGAAAGATAATGGAAAGTTGACAGATTTCGAAGAAAACTCACATTATGAAATAGATCAAAATAAAAGTTTTCATAATTTCCTTTATTTTTGTAACTGCTTTTTCTTCTTATCATCTTAGTATATAAGGAAGTGTTTTAATTTATCGTTTTTTCTATTTCTATTTCTTTCTTTTTGGTTTAATTCTCTTTTTAGTTTTTCAAATACATACATATTTTTATTTTATATGCTTAATATATATATTTCCATACAGTGCAGTTGTAGTATTGTTTTTTAATCGATTTTCTACTTTGAAATGAACACGGTTTTCTGCTATTACAAATCAACGAAAAACAATTGTAAAAGATAATTGATTTAAGATAGTCCACAGATAAAATTATAATCGTATAACACAACTTTTATGGCATTTTTAGTTGATGTTTTGTAGAATTAGGAAATATATTTAAGTATATAACACATAAATTACATTAGAGATTGGCCATAATTATATACAAAATATTTGCCATGAGTTATTTATTGGTACAGTAAAGTCGTTTATAACATTTACTATAACTTTCTTAAATTCATTAATGTCAATTTTATTCTCTAATGATATTATTAACGTAAATATGTATACTACATGCAAAACGAGAACCGCGAGAACCAAGTCTGCACCACCAAGTATTTTTTTAAAGCTTATATGTGAAGTTATTAAATTAATTTTGTTATTAATATAACACGACTCTTATTAGCTTTACAAATGTAAATTTTATTTGATTTCAATTCTGCTAATTTTACAAATATTCATCTCATGAATACAGGGGAAGAATTAAGAAGAAAAAGAAAATACAATACAATGATAAAATACAAAGTTGTAATTATGGTTTACGTAACGTGAAATATTTTTAAGATATGACGAAACGAATCCTTGTACTGTTTCAGTGGTAAGACGGTATTGCTATTAATCAACTTATTGTACATAGTCACGTATCAAATATAACCGTGTGGCTATTTTATGAATGACCCTGCATACGTCTGCAACGATTAATAAATATCAATGATTATACGATTAAATAATTGCTAGTGTGTAACAATGATATTATTTTGTAATTTGAACATTCGAAACATCTAAATAATTTGCAAATTGCACTCTTGAGATTTCTATTATAGATCAGTAAATAATAATAAGTCAATATCAACTATATCTTCATTATATATTGCGAATATACTTCCTTCTATTTATTATACTGCACATTATGAAGCAATATAAAACAAATCCTATTAAATATGTTAAAGCTAGTTTTATTACATAAATGTTTTACTATCGGCTATCGAATTACTAATTTAATTAATTAAATTAATTATTAATTTAATTATTTTATTTAATTTAAAAGTATTAATTATTCGTAATTGTAAAATATTTTAATCCATTTTAATTTATTAATTAAACAATTTAATTAATTGCATCTACGGTACATCTAATCATAACAATTTTTTATGTAATTCCTTTGAAAAATAAAAACAGCATGTAATAAAACAAATTTTTTCAATCCTTAAATAGAAAAGTATAAGAAGTAATATTTGCAATAATCAAATACAAATTTACCTTTTGTGTTTACATGAATTATTATATTCCTATAAAAATTGACATTTTTTAATCGTAGTTTCTTTATTGTTTCCATCATAATTTTAAAAATTTGTACAGCTTTTATTTTAGAATGAAAGATATTAAAATTATTTTCTTTGTTTTGTACTAAAGTATATGTAAGTATATTTAATTCCTCTAATAAATGGTTTCAAAATTTCTTCGTCTATAATTTTAAATATTTATTTACAATATTATCGTTATTGTATTACATCAAAACTTCAGAAAATAGAGAACGAAACTTGTTATTAAATCGCTTTATGAAATTATAAATTGTACTAATAAAATTCTTCATTAAACAGATCCAAACTAAACACTAAATACTAAAACATACTACAACACTAAAATAAAACGTTACTTGTGTTTAGAAATAAAAAAGGATATTTTTTAATCTCAAATTAGAAATCGTAAATGATGCCTGTACGAGTTTGTACTTTTCTTTGCAGCATTAAGAGGTCCGACAAGAACCTCTACGAAAAGAAGAAACAAAGCATCCTCGAGGTTTACAGGAAAAGAGAGTAAGCGCATAGATATAAGAAGATCCTGCTTCATAGGAATTCTCAGTTTGTTATGCGATTCACATTGAACATACAAGTCATTAAAATCTATTACGTAGCATTTTCACCATGAAAACCGAATTATTATTGCAAGTAAATCGTAAATATTCTAAACAACGCGTTTACTTTACGTTTTAATCATCGATATCTCTTAAAACCTATATATTGATAATTCCTTTCTTAATGAATTGAAAGCTGTATTTCAAAGAGTGTAATCTTCACAGTGTAGTTGTTTAAATTTAACCCACGTATTTAAGTATTAAAAATTTCGAACTTGCAAATTAACTTTTAAATGATTTTCAGCTTAACTTACTTTTAACGGTATTAATGGTTACCATGTCTGAAGGATCTTTTTTCGAATAGTAAGTAAAGTTAAGTTTAGTGTTGTGGATGGTGAAAATTACTTTTGAATGAAATTTATAATTAAATTAGTGTTTTATTAAATTGAATTATCACTTGTCGAATATATACATTTTAGATTATATTTCGACTAAAGTGTTCCTAGTAAAGAGGTCCTTTGAAGTAACATTGTCAATTTGCATTCCAGTCCTAAAAGAGTATTAATGGATTTCTTACAAACATTAAAGGAAAAGAGAGAAGCAAAGAAAAAACCTTATATAGATCATTACCATTTCCATTATTATCCAGTAGCATACATATACGAACCAACGTTAAAAGCTCTCGGAAAGCACGAATTGGAGGAAGTACACAAGTAAATTTGAATTTTATAAAGATTAGAATGCAGTGTATTTATATCGACGTTAATAAAATTAAATATGATATCAATTATTCTTTTAATTTAAACTTTTACAAAATTTATATATTACCTTTAATTACTTTTTATCAATGATTTCGATTTTTGTATGACATATTTCTACAATTAAAAATATATTTTCAATCTTATATTTTTAGCAACTATCTTACATCACTCGGATGGTCCAATCATGAATATAAATACGTACCTGAACCTAAAGTCAAAATTCCTTTGAATTTATATGATTCGTGGAAAGACTTACACGAAAATTTAGGTATAATTTGAAAAATGAATTTATAATCTTATTTCATATTTTCTGTAAATTTAAATTTTAAACAATGTATTAAATATTATTTTAAATAACTTTGTAGAAGCAGAACTATTGGAAACAGTAGTCCGCAATGAAGACGACGGTATATACGTTGAACTTCCTTTGAACCAAAAAATAATCATCGAGCATCCTAACACTGACGAAAAATTAAAATATAGTCTATTAGCAAAGTTTCGTCAAAAAATCTTAGATTCTAAAAATTCTCTATACTCAAATACTGAAAAAGAAATAGATTAAATCAAAAAGATGCGCTTTGAGATTAACGGAAAGTTTTGGCAAAACATCAACGATAACAGTACAATATATCTAACGATATGTAAAAGAGTATTTTAGATATAATGATATTCTGTGAATAGCATGTGCCACCTTCATAATAATTTCAAACATTAACTATTTTTTCGTATTAATCATTATAATCATTATGTTTAAGAGTGTTACAAACGAAAAAAGGTTCGCTGATTTCTAAAATTAAAATTGTCAAATTTTATTTTTCTAACTTTTTGGTACATCATCAAATTTATTTGTAGCTTTTACAAAATTCTGCAAACTTTTCACGTATCATAAGTTTATCTTATAATATTGAATGATATCGTACAACCAGTTATATGTATACAAAATGCACATTACACATTAATAGTGTAGAAATAAAAATGTTCTTTGTATTGTTGTTTGTTGTAGATAGTATCATTAATATCTTGTTGTCTGCATTATTTCGTCATCAAATATATCTCTAAAATATTTATCCATTTCTTTTGTTTATATTATTCGAATATATTTATAATTATGATACAAATTTGTAAAAAATATAAAAGTTATTACAAACAAAAATACCTCAGCATTATGTTTGTTACGTCCAATATTTCATTCTACTTTGCTTACATGAATCATATACAATTCTTTACACGTAGAGTTTCAATTTAGTATACCTTGGTTCATGCATCTTTTCAGAAAGCACTTTATAAGATAGTTTTAATAGTCGAGATATAATTAATGGTGGTGATAACTTTCTCTTCTCAATACGTATATTCTGCTCCTCCACATGATCCTCGTATAATTTAGTCATAAGTAGCAACATATATTTCCTATCCGTTAGTCGGACGATATGACTTTCCATAACCTTTTCTAATCGATATTTTACTGGTGGATAATTTATTCTATAATAAAAACGTATCGAGAAATAATACTAAAAATAATAAAATTTAAATAGATTATAAATTTCATAGAAATCAAATTTAGGACAAAGTAAAGATTATAATTCAAAATCTGTAATTGCATTATAGTATAAATATTTTGTAAGTAATCTAGTATTACTGTAATGTTATTACTAGTATTTCATTTTACAATACCTTTTTGATATTAAAGAAGTTAATAATCGTTGAAAATATTGAAACGATTTATTTTGGACATTTATTTTATAGTAGATATCGAAATCTGTAGTATAATTAATTTTTATCAAAAAGAGCAAAATAATATTTAATTAAATGATAAAAAATTAATATAAATAATAAGGATAACTTACGCGTATTTTACGTGTTCCGTTTTCCACCATTTTAAAGGAGTATCATGCGGATCTATGGTAGATAGGAATACTTTACGTATATCTTCGGATACCTTTTGAGCAATTTTTGGTATTACCTTCTTCTCATCATCAGTTTTTATTTCTTCTTTATCTTTACTCTCAATTTTATACCTATATATTTTCTTCTCTTTATAGTTAAACTTTTTCTTGTATTTATTTCGCTTTTTTTCTATAGTTGTCGTTTGCATTATGTATTGAATTATCTATTCTTGTTTTTATTTCCGTTACTTAAAGCAATCTTTGATTAAGATTAATTATTCTATTATAGTATATTATTGCTAATATGGTTCAACATAAATTTTGTAAATGAATATAGTAAATTTAAGAGAAAACAAATGCATTCAAAGCTGCAATCTTAAAAATTTAAAGAATGTTTAAAATTTTGAACGAAAATAAAAACCTTTCAATTCCAAATGAAAAAAAAGATAAAAGATTTCGAGAACATGCAAAAAATAACTGCAGACAGTGATATTTAAAAAAAAACATTTTCGTGATAATAATTAATTTATATATTTTATATGTATAATTTTATTCGAGACATTAAAAAAACAGTATTTTGATCCAATATCTATAAAATATTTCAATTTCAAAATTTGTATATCTCGTCCTTACATCATTCTATTTTAATATTGAAAATTTTTGTTGTTGAATAATTATCATATCATTGATCAAAAATACATGTTCATCCATAATACATGTACATATTAAAATGTTCTCAAATATTAATTAGATCATTCAAAATAGGACTTTCTTCATAGACGAATTAATAATTAGGATTATTAAACATTGACTCTTAAAACATTCAACTGATAATTGAATACAATGATTAAATGCATATATTTTTTTAGGAACTTATGTTTTATCATTAAACTTTTTTAATGTCGTTTGTATACAGTTTTATATAGTAGCCATCTTGAATTTTAAGAAGTTACATATTTCATAGCAATCAAGTTATTCATATATATCCACATCTGATAATCTTCATATTTGATAAATTAAATCTATTTAAATAGAAAATATATAATTAAAACATTCATTAAAAATAAATTTTGATTCTAATTTAAAATCGATATTATAAAATATATTTTCATTACTACAATAT